CCCCCCCCCCCCCCCCCCCCCCCCCCCCCCTCCCCCGTCCCTCGCTTATCAACCTCACAAAAACCACCCAACGAATCGTCCCCTTCCTCATGAACGCCGCTCAATGAATCCTGACAGATGCTGGTTGTTCGCAAAGCAGACAACATGCCAAGTTTCAGTTTTGACTCGTTGCCTCAATTCGGAATTGTACAGTCAACAGGGCAATGTACCTTCATCCCCCTCCCCCTCTCCCTCCCGCACGCCCGGGCGGGGGAGGACAAACCACCATACATCCGAAAGTCATATCTGCAAAGCCTCGGGAATAAGAAGTAACAAGGTGTCAAAATGAGGTAATAAGGCGTCGAAACGTAAGCGAAAGCTTACCACAAATCACGGTTTCATCGGAATTCAGGACGGTGTCAAACTCCTTGGTGGTCTTGATCTCGGTAGCCGATGGGCCGACTTGTCCGCGCATGTATTTGACGATACCGTCTGCCACACGCGGCCCCTCATAGTCTTGTGCAAATTCACCTTTGCGATAGATTTTGAGCGTTGGGAAGCCAGAGACACCCACATCATCACATGTCTTCTTGTTTTCCGTGCAGTCAACCTTCAAAAAGAACCGTTTAAAGCCAACATTTCCAAAGCACAAAAATCAAAACCCTTTCCTCGGAGTGAAGTTCTGAGGACCTGCTCTATCACCGGACTTATAGAGCAGTACTGTTCGGCCTCTGGAGAACCTTCTTTCCCTAACAAAGCACGCTGAAACTGTCCATTTGAGGAAAAAACCAATGTCAAATTCAGGACGAAAAGCGAAAACGACTATCCAGGATGCGATCAGGATCTGGACAAATAAATGCAAAAACAGCTAGACAATGGCACAATTAAACAAACATCCAGATCAGCTTTCACAACTGCTGCATTCACACTAGTAGGTGGCCCAGTGTTATTTGAACTGATGTTAAAAAATAGACAAAAATATAACATTTCGAGCAAGCATGAAGAAAAAAAAAACTCGGCTCGGCCAACTGAAATACACTAATTTCTGAGCTCGAACTCGAGCTGCAAAAATCGTGGTGCCGAGTTTTTTGTCCAAGTGATGTTTTAGGCGCCTCGTCCGAAATGGCTAACTTCATCCCCACATCTGACTTCAGACTCAGTATAAAAAACCCTACCTAGGACCTCTTCTTCATAATCCTCTTCCTCTTGCTTCCAGTTTTTAAACTCGAAGTGAGGTTCCAGCTTTTTCGCAGATAACCCTGTCCCTCCTCCCCTCATGCTACGACCCGACACTTAAAACACCCTTCCCTCCCACAACCGCCTTCACTCTCCCGCCTCCGGCCCTCTATCAATGTAACTCATCTTACTACTCGGTCGAATGGACTCACAGCAGCTGTCAGTGAAAACGAAAGACCAAGACACGGCTAGTGAGAAAATGCGACTAAAAACAGGAGATTGAACATATGGGTAGCGCTTACTATCTACTAATGAAGTACCTCCCTAGCCTGCCCCGAAAGATGGTTTGCGGAACTTCAAATTTGAAAGTTATGTTAGGAGTAGGTCCCATTTTTTAACTTCACCTACTTCGGCAAGATAAACTGGCGGATCATTTTGCACCAATTTTGCGGCAGCTTTTTCAAATTCAGGCGCTATCTTTTTGCAATGTCCACACCTGAAAATACCTGAAATTTAATCCAAATCTAGCTGGCCCAAGTCAACCTACTTCTTCCTGATCGTGTGAGGCAATATCCAGCGTAATCCTTTTTCTTTGGCGTTTTTTAGGGACCCTGAACTCCCAGAAATCTGAAGTTCAATTTTCCAGTTAAGAAAATCATTAAAAAATCAGCTCCAGTGCCCATAAATACCAATCTGATAAGCGAAAATTTCCAAATTTCTTATATCAGGGCCAAAATTTAGAGGAAACGAGCAAGAGGGGAGAAGAGGGAGAGGGGATAAATCCAGATGAATTCATTGAAATCATTGATTTGAGGTATTTGCCCTAAAACTAAAGCAAAATGAAGCACAAAACTGTACGCGTACTGCATAAAACGAACAAAAATTCCATGTCATCGGTAACATTTGAGCAATATTGAGCAAAACTGACACTTTGTCAAATATACGCCAAAAAAGGTTATTTTTTTTTTTTTTCAAACCACTGCTTTCACAAAAAAAAAAACCGTAAAAGCTGACTGTTCTAATACGCTAAGTAACTTTTAAGCTTCTACAATTATGAAGTTCAAATTCACTAAGCATCGAGATCGAACGTTTCAGGTGTAGATCGTAATTTTTTAATTGCTGTATTACCAAGAAAATATTATGAATCGTATAGCTCAATACTCATGTGTATTCAGCGAAAATCCTTACCATGGAGCAAAAAATTTCACAAGCAATATATCGTACGGTTTGATGCCATCCTTGAAGGTAGCATCGGTGAATTTCATAACAGCATCATCTGCATTTACTGCCGCCCAGAATAATAATGTGCAAATCAACGAAACAATTAGCCTTAAGACATTCATCTCTCACACAAATGCGCACCTCTTATACCCCAGTTCCTGCAACAAACAAATTTATATACCCACACATCATTGCTGGAGACATTTCAGGCAGCAAACGACACGGCGCGACCACACGTACAATTTCGCAAAACAGTCAACGTACATGTCTAAAACATATGGCACAAAGATACTGGATAAACTAATGCTAGAAAAGAGCAAAACCGTGGAGAGGACGAGCAAGGAGGGCCAGCGATTGGGCCTGCAAACCGGAGGAATTTCAGTAAAATGATACTCAGACCGACTTCGCTCTGGAATGACAGGTATCCGTGCTATGCGGCAAAATGATTTTTGCTGTGATTCAAAGCGACCGGGACTCCTGGAAAGGGAAAAAAGCTAGGAAAATACTACCAAAGAAAAAACTGCTGATTTATACGGAAGCTCGAGACCCA